CGAGAGCGCAGCTGGACCGATCCCTGCGGGGCATCGAGCCCCTTCCCCCTGCCCCAGCCCTCCCACTTGGCACAGTGCCACCCCCACACCATCATTTCCCCGGGGACAGCACAACAAACAAGCGACTTCAGGTACGAACAAGCTGCTGGCAAAGCCGACCCACCGTCCCCCATCCCAGTGCAGTGCCATCCCCGCAAGGCATCTCCTTCCCAGCAGCATTCCCGTGCTGCTCCCTGCTCCCCAAGGAGCTGCCCTCAGCCGCTTTCCCACGGAGCAGGCGGCCGTGCAGGGCCCTTTGAAGTGGCCTTGGGTGGAGGGTTGTGTCCCAGGCGTGACGCTGTCCCCAGCACAGCGGGAAGGCAGCTAGACCGGGGGTCCCCAGCAGGAAAACACAGGGACACCCCCATCCTGAACCATACCCTCCTGCCCTGGGCCTCCCTGCAGCCTGGACAAGGCGGGTGCTGGGGGGATGCAGGATCTGGGGGGGGTGCCTGCCCCCCCCCTTCTATCTTCCTGGTCCTGTTCACCTGGAGCATCTCAGGGCAGCCCAGGCCTCCATCCCCCCTGCCTGGCAACTGCCAATCAGAGGCAGCTCAGCCGTTGCCCTGGAAACCCCCGTTGCCATAACAGCAGCTGATGGAGGCGTAGGGGAGGCAGATGGTGGCAGAGGGGGACTGATATGGCTGGCGGGGAGGGATGGGGGGCTGCACACTCAGAGCCCTCACTGGGACAGGTGCCAAACCCCCTCCCCACAACCACCGGGGGCAGCAGAACCGAAACATTTCCAGCCCAGCTGGGGCTGGACGCACATCTGGGGGGCGGCTGCTGGCTCTGCCACCACCGCAGGACCCCTCTCACTTTGTCCCACCTTCTCCTGCAGCCACCGTGCCCCATGACCAACACCCACACATCTGATGCCCACCCAGCTCGCTGCCCTCAATCCCAAGCCATGATCCCTGTACCCTGCTCCCAAAAGCAGAACTTTTGGAGCCCATGCTGCCAGGCATCGCTCCAGGGCAGCCCAGCCCAGGCACTCAGCTGAAAGAGGTCCACCACTGTGTGAGAAGATCACAGAATCACAGAATGGTTTGGGTTGGAAGGAAAATTAAAACTCATCCTGGGCAGGGACACCTTCCACTAGACCAGGTTGCTCCAAGCCTCATCCAGCCTGGCCTTGGACACTCCCAGGGATGGGGCATCCACAGCTTCTCTGGGCAACCTGTCCCAGGGCCTCCCCACCCTCTGCGGGAAGAATTTCTTCCTGATGTCCAATCTCAATATCCCTTTTCCCATTTAAACCCATTACTCCTTGTCCTGTAAAAAGACCCCCTCCAGCTTTCTTGTAGCCCCTTCAGGTATTGGCCAAAAGCCCCAGCACATACCTGGATCTGCCCCTTGCCCATGATCTTGTCCACGATTTCGTTGTTGTCCTTGTTGAGCTTAGTCTTGTCGTAGCACTTCTCGTAGCAGAGGATGCGCAGGGACTGGGAGCCCTCCAGCTCGATCTCAAACTCCTGGGGTGCAGAGGGAGGGTGGCTCAGCCCCAGCACCCCACAACAACTTCAAACTGGGGCTGGAAGGGAAGGGGAGGGGGCACAGTGCGTCCCCTCCCTGTGTCCCACTCTCACCTCATTCCACTGTGGCTCAGTGGTGTCCCGGAAAACCCTGGTCTTGGCTTTGCTGACGAAGTACCCGAAGGAGTCCACCTCCAGCGTGCAGTAAAGGTCTGGGGGAGCAGACACCGCTCAGCACCCCAGGAACACCCCCACCAGCTCCTGGGGGACTGCTGTGGGCAGAGCCGGGCCACACGCTGGCCCCCAGCTCTTCCAATCACACTGGCCCCTCGGAGCAAGGGTGGGCACCCGCACTTACTGGCAGACTGCTTGAAGCCCTTGGCGGAGTGGACGATAACGTGCAAGAACCCGTAGAGCCCAGGGGACTCGTCATCTGTGGGGTGTGAGCAGAGGCTGTGTCAGGGCTCAGCTGCCACCTCCCGCGCCCCAAGGCCAGCACCCCTAAGGCAGCCTTTGCAACAGAGAGCACTAGGCGCCTGCAGTGACACCCCAATGTCCCCCCACAAGAGGGCCATCCCTTGACCCCACTGCTGGAGAGCCCTGAGGGGGTCCTCAGCAGGGCTTTCTGGGTCTCATCCTGGGGACACGCTGGTGCCCAGCCCATGGGAGTGCTGGAGGCACCCCAAAAGCAGCCCCATGCTGCAGCCGGGATTACTCTGCCTAGCATCCCGCCTCTGCTCCAGCAGTGCCACCTGGTGGGTAGCTGTCCCCTGCACAGCCAGGGTCCCCCGAGCAGGGACCCTGCTCCAGCCGAGGGACCTCCGGCATAATCCGGCGGCGAAGAGGGACCCGCCAGCCCAGCGGACACTCACCGTCCTTATTGCTGGTGACCGGGATGTTGTGGACGGTGCGTAGCTTGAAGCAGGATCCTGTGAGCACCTGCAGCTCCACCGAGCTCAGGACAAAGGCCTGGAGGTCTGGAAGGGGACAGAAGAGGAGCTTCAGAGGGACATAGCCATGGGGACCAGAAACCAGCAGGCTGCAATTCTGCGGGACCTGCCTGTGATCGCAAGCAGGAGGGGGGGTGGCAGAAGCCCCAAGAGGGCCTCAGCAGCCCCAAATTTACCCTTTTTCTGCAGTTTCTGAATGGCCTCCCTCCACTCAGACCTCTCATAGTCGGAGGACAGCAGGAAGAGGTAGCTCTGTAAGAGAGAGGGCGATACAGCAGGCTGTGTGCAGGCAGAGCTGAGCCCGTCTCCTCGCCTCCCCTCCTCACCTTCCCATTGCGGTTGTGGATGCGGAAGGGGATGGCCGGCGAGTTGAGGAGTAGCCAGAATTCGTTCTCAAACATCTTCTTCTTGAGGCGCTCGATGGCCCGGCTCTGCCCCTTGTTGGCTTTCTGCAGGCGGGGGAGCAGACAGGAGCTTTCGCAGGAGCCCCCAACACCCCCATGTCCCATCCCTGACCCAGAGGAAGGCACCCACCCCGGCCACTCGCACCCTCCTCTCACCTCCTTCTGCACCTCGCTCTTGATGGCTGAGATCTTCATCTTCATGTCCTCCAGCTCGTGGTCAGGGATGACGTGGACCTGCGGGCAGTGCTCCGACTCCTCCGGCGAGGGGAACACCAGGTCGGCCAGGGGCACGTACCACTTGCAGTCGTACTGCTGGTGCTTCCTGCAGCCAGGGCAGGGGCGCTGAGTGATGCCTGACCCTCTCCCCAGCACATCCCCCAGCCCACCGGAGGATGCGAGGGGTGTTCATGACACATTCCCGCTGTGCCCAGTGCCCTCCTTACCCCACTGCCGTCTTCTTCAGCTTGGCGCAGAGCAGCACATCGGTGAAGAGGAAGACGTGCCGCAGCTTCCGCGAACCCTCCGACAGCTCCACCAAGAAGCCATCCTTGACAAGCTGCCGGGTCTGTGGGGCAGCAGGGCTGGCGTGAGAGTGGGCAGGGAGCAAAAGCCAACAAACCGCAGGGGATGGATGCTCCCGTCCCTCTCTGTGGCTCAGCCACCAGAAGCACGGGAAGGTCCGTGGCCTCCGGGTGCTATTTGGAGTCCCATACACCCAGCAAGGTGCCAGCGGGCAGCAAGGACCAGGTAGAGCCCTAATCTTGCACCCAGGACTGCACCTAGAGGAAACCATCTCCTGGCCCAGCACCATGGAGCTCCTCAGGGTTGAGACACCAGCCAGGGGCTGGCAGAGGGCTCAGCCCTCACCCTGTGCCCAGGCACTGCCCACCCCGCTGGCTCACCTCCCCCTTGGGGGTGGTGACCGCTGTCCTCCGGGGATCGATGTCCTCATTGATGCTGGAGAGAAAGTTCTGCGAGATGCGGAGGGCGTCCTGGAGCAGCGGGTAGTCGGGGTGGTCGGCTGGGGTGTGCTTGAGGAGGTCCTGGAAGGGGACAGGCGCAGGTGAGCAGCCCAAGGGCACTGCCCTGCCTGCAGTACCCCCCCCAGAGACCCCCCAGCAGCGCTCCACATGCCTGCAGGTCCCCAGAAGCAATGGGAACAGAGCCCCCTGCCATGCCCCTCCCTGGGACAAGCATCACACTCACATGCAGGACGAGGGTGCTCCGCGTCACCCGGTCGATGGGTTTGTACAGCAGAGCTGCGGGAAGAGAGCAGGTGTCAGGGACCAGTCCCTCTCCCACCCATGAGAGCCAGCACTGCACCCTGTGGGGGCAAGGAGGGGAGACCAGATGCCCAGAGACACCCCCCAGGTCTGCACAGAGCCCAGGGCAGGAGAAACACAGCCAGGCTGGTGCATGGAGCAAGGGCAGAGCCCAGCGCTGGCGGCTGCCCAACGTGCACCTTGATTTCAGGGCTGCACCTAAGGGGTTTTACCAGCTGTGTGGGTGCCTGTGGGGTCCCCACTGGGGTGACAAGTCTGGACAGCTGATGCATGGGGCTCTGTTCCAGCCGTGGTCCCACATCGGCAAGGTCTGTCCTTTCCCCGGGACAGGGCACGGGGGGCACACCAACCCAGCCACCACGTCCCCCTCCCCTCTGCTGCCACAGGTCATGGGTGTCAAAGCCAGAGGGACCATCCTGAACACAGCTTTGCCCCAAATGCGGGACGTCCCCACCATCACCATGCCAGCACATCCCCCTCAGGAGCAAAGGACCTCCCCAGGCATGGTGTGGACACCAGCACTGCCAGCTTGCCATGCAGTGGTTGTGGAGCTGGGATATCTGCTCATCACGCCCAGTTTCCCTTCCTTTTGGCTCAGCAAAGGGTCCCATCCCTGCCCTAGCCTTGCTGGGCTCTCCCACCCCACGGGACACCCTACTGCTCCAGCAGCTGGGGCTCAGAAAAGGGTCCCATCCCTGCCCTAGCCTTGCTGGGCGCTCCCACCCCACGGGACACCCTACTGCTCCAGCAGCAGCAAACTCTCCCCCAACAGAGAACGCAGGAGCCAAGGCATCGTCCCAACACCACTGCCCCATGTTCCCTCCCCGCAGCCCCCCGTGACTGCACAGGCATCCGGGGCAAAGGGGCAGAGCTGCCACACACACAGGGCACAGACACCCCCCTTCTCTTGCCACACACCCTCCCAGCAGGTAACCAGCCCTGGGGGTTCTTCAGAGGCACGTTTCACTCCAAGGAGCCAGACCCTCCTCCTCCTCCCCAGCTCCTTAGGCAGGTGGAGGCACCAAGCACATTCCCAGTGCTGCTCCCCAGCAGCTCCCCAGGCTGCTTACAGCCAGGCCAATGCCTCTGGGTTTTCCCTTCCCTTTGGAGCACTTCCCCAGACTGCCAGGGTCAAACAGAGCTGGGTTTCAGGCAGGGAGGAGAAGAGGGAAAGGTGCTGCCCA